AAAAATGTTTTGACACCTAAGACCCCCTAAACACTCAAAACTAAACCCTAATAGAACATAATTAACCAAAACATAAATAATATAAAGAAAAAATAATTTTGAAAACGTGGCATTTTTGTAAAGATTTCAAAAGTGTGGCATTTTTGTAAAGATTTCAAAAGTGTGTCATCTTTGTAAAGTGACACTTAAAAATTTTCTATAATTGTTGTGTTTAAAATTTAAGGTGACAATATGTCATTATTAAATATATATGGCAATATTTAAAAAATAATCAAATAATAAAGTATAAGATTACTTTCTTAAATTTAAAATATTTTCATTTATAGTTTAACTAACTAGATAGTAAAAGATTAATGAATCTAATAATTTTCATTTGAATTTGAAGATGACAATTATTAACACTGTAATACTTTTTTACTTGTATTACAATACAGAATAAGCAATTTAAATTTGAATATTTTCTCTTATATGTTTTATGCCAAATGGGACTTTGAGTGTTTCTAATAATTTTGTGAATGTTCAGAAAAGTTAATAAACAAGAAATACATGAATAGGTATGAATTGGATGGTTGCATTTGGCTTCATGTAAATGAGCTTTTTCTCATGCGTTATTCTTTTGCAGACTCATACTGTAATTATCTGTAAGATTTGTAGCTTTCTCATTTACACTTTTCTCTTATATCTACAGATATATTTCGTGTGTCCACGAAGAAAAATGCAAACGTGGCTACATGCAGTGAGCAAGGAAGGATGTGGTAGACACGCGCATTTTATCCGAGTTCTCATCAAACTCAAAAACTATTTCCTCTTGTCTTAACTATGAGATGGTTCGGTTTGAAGCAAAAACAATGTTTCATTAGAGTGGTAACAAAATTAACAGTTTATTTTTAACCCATGATTGGTGATATTTGCAAATGGTAAATAGAATTACACTTTAACATATCAAATGTAGGTAGCTCTATTGATCGTTGTTATTATCCAAACAATGTTGATGTCAAATGTTGATGTCGCTTTGACTACAAGCGCCTTGGTAAAACAGATCGACAAGAACATTTGGAATCGAATCAATGTGATCCCTAGCACAAGAGAAAACAGTTACTTAGAGACCATCGAGATTCGGCTCTCTACTTGCTTATAGGTCATTCTCTCTGTTTTCTTGAAGTCACGTTTTGATTTTTAAATATCATGTTTAGCAACTTCTAGAATGACACATTTGTTGTACAAAAGATTATTCTGAATAAAATTTTACATTTACTATTAAAAAAAAGATTTATGAGTTTCGCTCTAGAAAATCTCAATTAACTTAATAAAAGAAAATACAGTTTACATATGTACAATTTATAAAATTAATAAAAAACTGATTTGGGAGACTACATATATATATATATGTCATTAAGAATCTGATGACAAATATGAAGTCAGTCATGTGACAGATTTAATATAAGTAAGGTTTAATATTAGAAAAAAATAAGGGTAACATTTAAAACATACATTTTGCAAACTTATGGTTACTGTTTGTAGAAAATTAATAAATTTTAATATCTATCTTATAGTAAATGGTAATAAATCTCTAAAACTTAAAATACTATGAAATTCATTATATTAAAATGAAACTCAATGAAAAAAAAGACAAATTCGAAAAACGGTCATCATCATCGGTGTCTCGATCATCACACCGAGAAACATTTCACCGCCGGAGAAGTCGTCCGTGACATCATCATCGGTGTCTCCGACGGTTTAACCGTTCCTTTTGCACTCGCCGCCGGACTCTCCGGTGCGAAAGCTTCTTCTTCTATCGTACTCACCGCCGGAATCGCCGAAGTCGCCGCCGGTGCTATCTCCATGGGACTCGGCGGGTAGT